TGAAATCAATATCGTAACTGTCCCTCATGAGTCCCCCTCTGATTCCCAATGACGGCTTAAGTCTCTGCTCGTTTATTCTTTCTCCCCTCCTTCTTCTGTCTCTTTTTAAAAGGCAGTTAGGGGTGTGTGTTTGACTTTGCAGGGAGAGCAATTTCCTGGAGGTGGTCGTGTATGTAGATGGGGGTTGATACTCCAGGTAAGGAGACATCATCCATGTGGGAAATCTATGCAATCTCTCCTCGTGGCAGTGACATTGAAGAGGCCATATGCTAGAAGTTCTGTGTACAAGTGTGTGTGTGTGTGTGTGTGTGTGTGTGTGTGTGTGTGAGAGAGAGAAGCAGAAACAATGTAAAAAGTATAAAGTAAGTAAAAGTATATTTATACTGCCTTGCAGTATAAACTTTGCACTGAAGCTTACTAACCTGGTCAGGTGTGGTAACTTACAAAATTTTCAATTTTGTTTTGAAAGCTGCTGTACAAAAAGCTTCATTCTCAACCTTCAAGACACAAATCTGTGGTAATATAAATAATAAGTTCCACTTACTTATTCTCAGATTTCAAGCGTATCCCATGGCCTTCTTCAGCAATGGTGAGCTAAGGAAGTGGACGTTGCGTTTAGAATAATTAACCCCGAACATTGTCCCTCACAATTAAAGCACAAAACACAAACGTCAGCTTTAATTCTATTAGAGCTGAAACAATTAGACAATTAATTGATATACAATTATTTAATGATTGTTTTTAAAGAAACATTCACTGGTTCCAGCGACTCAATTGTGGATATTAGGCTATATTATTATGTCTTCTTCTTCTGTGATAGTAAATTGAAAAACCTTTTGAACTTGCGACATTTTATAGAACAAATGATTAATCAACTCATCAAGACAATAATCGGCACATTATCATAATCTTCGGCTGCAACGCTGAAATTTTTCTTGCAGCTTCAACATTACAAACATAAAGCCTAATAAATACATATTATTCATAAAACACACTATATAAATACACATAATAACACATGCTGAAATCTACGACAAAGAGGCAAGATACAGGCACAGAATTTTTAAAAAGAGCTATGAATTCAGTTAAAAATGGTAAATAAGTGAGTCTTGGGAAGTTTTTTAAGCGTCGAATGATTGTAGTAAACCATTTCACAGTCTACAATCCAAGTAAATACATCCAAACACTTATTAGCAGACCTGAGCGAACTTAAGGTTCAAGGCTTGATAGGACAGCCAAAGATGAAAATAATTGATATGTCTGTTTCTTTTGTAAAACCCACAAATTACCTTTAAATGTGATTTTAAAAAGTATTTTGACGTATTTTCTCAAAAAAAACGACTACGTGATTCACAGCAGCAGCGTATGAATCGTCCATTTAAATATTAGAACGCACACATTTTTTTTGATGACCTTCATTTGTGCCCAACTCTATGTCACGCGCGTGTTGTTGTTACTACTTAACACTTGGGCGACACGCTACCCCATTTTCCCTCTCACATGACCATTCATTTCCCAGACACCCCAGCCGCGGACTAACAGTGTAATCTATGTGTCAGGCAGGAAGGGGCACTCAGTTTAAAGCTGATAGAGTTTGCCCCAAACAAGGACAGCCTATCATAGAAAGATTAATGAACTAATTTCATGCATGGCTCCTTGCCTCTGTCCTTCTGCGCTTCCATGTTCAACTGTGTGTTCAGCACCATGATTTACGCTGTGTTCCTTGCTACAAGCTTAACCCCAAGCTTAACAATAATATTTCCCCTCAGTGGGAAATACATAGTAAAATGTGGAGAACCAGATATTTAACCCTTCACTCAACGAGCCAAAGATAGCATGAGCTCATTGCTGAGAACTGCTTTGAATAAGCATTGTAGATTTTTTTTTCTTTTGGACTGCTGGTAAAAAAAATTATTGTGTAGAATTTCAGAGGCTGGAAAACATATTTCATGGTTTAGAGAGAAGATGTGGATGGATTCAGGATTTATGTAGGGAAGAAGGGGATCTGCAACACCGCCAGCATTAGGAGGCATGCCAAAATACACACATACATGCACGCACACACACACAAACATTTGAGATTTTAAGCTGCTCTGGTGGGATAGTTTCACTTCACACTTTGGCTCCAAAATAATAATACTTTTTTTAAAAACAGCGATCACTGATCTTAGCCTGTACTGCATTTTCAGGCAGCGTCACGGTCATATTAAACATTATGGACAGTCGTGTCTAGACGCTCTCTTTCCTTCAGTGCGGTGGACTGACTGAAACCTGTGTGTGTGCTTCTCCGAGGCGTCCATTGTGGGACCGTCTGGGCCTCTAAGAACAGCAGCGCAGAGAAGGCAGGTGACCTTCACGTCTGTCTGATGAGTCTTGCTTGTCTGCTCGGTTTGTACCATTTTTCTGCGCGGCGGAGCAAACACTACCCTATTAGATATTAGGTGCAATGCCTTTGTGCGTGCTTGAGTGAGTGAGTGTGTGTGTGTGTGTGTGTGTGTGTGTGTGTGTGTTGCCACAAAAGCGGGCCGGGTTGAGGAGAGTCAGGCTGCATTTAGAGAACTCTGTCTCTTCATAATAAAAAGGGGGAACCAAATTATGAAACTATGAAGCTATTTTTGTCTGCGCGAATTGGTGGTTCGTGCCATTATTTCATTTCGACAGATTTGAAAGGACCCATTAGAAATTTCCATTAAACCTAACAAAAAACATCTCCCCAGCGTTACTGTGTGCTAAGTGTGGAATGAACTACTTTTTACATATGCCACAATGTACTATTCCATAGGGAATCCCCCTATCTGGCTGCGATGATGTATTAACTGTTACCACGCCGCTCTCTCCAGTTCCCTCAGATGGTTGAAAATATACATTCCAATTGACTGTAGGTGCATGCTGATTGTTAGCAAAACTTAACATGAGCCCTGTGAATCTTTTATAAACCGCAATAGCCTCAGAATAAAGACTAACATAATGTTGTATCGCTCCATCTCGCACTATGTTAACAGTCCTGGCTGATTAAAAATGCATAAGGAATGTCTGGGACCCGTAAGAGGAGGGTTTATTTTTTCATGCCTCATCTGGAACAGGAAGGAAGCAGAGGATCAATAGATCGGATCTGGACCCAGGGGTAGAGGCTATCTCCTCATCCTCCCTCCACTGGCTACCCGTTAGCAGTTAAATGAGAGGTTTCATGTTGTCGGTGCCTGATGACTTCATGGCTTTATATAAACACTTATGCAAAGAGGTAACAGAGGGAAAATACATTCCTAACCTCAACACCAAATTTGAAAGAAGGGGGCAGCCCCTTGGCAGCAAGAAGTTCAGAGGAATCTGGTGAGCATTGGCCTCCTGTTAGTTTCCGACATTCTTAAAATGACTTTGCACTGTTCTCACCTAATATGTACAGCTCAAAAGCATGTAGGGCTGAAGTGGTGTAAAATCAGCACCAACTCTGACAGACAGAGCCAGCAGTTCTAACACAGGCCCAGGCCTCATTTCATGCCTTGTTTGAGAGGATATTATTGGAGCTATTGCAAGTGCAACAACATACATGCTTTTCTGCCTTGAAGAGAAATTATTGTCCAACAATAGCACTAGTAGTCACCGTTATTTATTGTATCACGCACATGGAAGTATCCAGCCCACACAGACAACATTTTTTAGTAAAGTACATAAATTCTTATGTAAAAGGTAACGCTGAAAATAAAGAACTTTTCATCCTCTTTAAGCTCGTCAAAGACAGTCTGCTGTGAAAAAGCTTCCTTTTCTGAAATATAACTTAAGTTTTTTAGCAATACATTGAGCTAGTAAGTGAATCTTTAGCTTTTTTGTCTAATAATATAGTCAGTTTCAGTCAACTCAATTTTATTTATATTTTTTTAGTCCACAAGATCACAAATTTGCCTCAACAGCCTTTCAAATCAAATCTGTACAGCCTGTGACACCCTCCATTCGGAAAAGGAAAAGCTCCCAAATATCCCTTTAATTGGTAGAAAAAGACATGACGTGAAATAGACGCTGTGTGAATATGAGTAACGTTTTCCCTTAGCTCTGCCTTTCCCCAAATTCTATAATGGAATTCGGGGATAAGGAACTTAATCCCAGGTCAGTGCCTCTTCCTCAGCCTCTCCAACCTCTCACTTAAATCCACCGTAACCCGGCACCGTCCTTTGGCAAACTAACCGGGACTATTGATTGGGTCATGTATTACCCATGATCCTCCATATGCTGAGTGTAACACCTCGCTCTGTCCATTAACAGCCTCCTGAAGTTTCATTCATTCATTTACTTCTGGCAGCCGACCAATTGTGGGCATTGTTTGCAAGATGTATGGGGCATCTGTTGACATGCTCGTTAGTTACCATTTTGCCTGAGAGAAATAAGCCACTGTAGTATATCACTTGGCATTCCAACACATAAATGGTTGTGTCTGTAACATAATCTATCAAACTCAGATGAACCGGCACGCTCCATCACAGCTGATGAATCTCTCGCCAAATGATCAGGCGATGATGGAAGAAGGCAACGCTCAGTACATCTGTCAGACCTTTTAGTGGTGATAATTTCCTTGATTCTGCAGTTTGCTGATGTATGTTTACTTTCATGTGAGGATATTGTTTGTCCCTCCAGTTTTGTTTTTACTTTAATTGAAAGATTACATGATCAATGAGGAGAAATTTTGAAGTGGGACTGCAAACTACATAGTTTATTTGATATTTTTAAAGATGTTCTGTTATCAGCCAAGAGCAGTTATTCTTATCAATTCCTCAATAGAGAAGGGTAAAAACAGTGACTGAGAAATACTACTGTTTGATTAGTTTCTGACTGATTACCAGGTTTTGTCACTTCATTTTGCTCAGTTGCTCCCTAGTTTGCACTATTTTTACTGTAAATTCAGTACCAAGACTGACTGCAGCTCTCATCCTGTTTGTGTTTATCCAGGTTGCTAACCAGAATGCCCTCTGAGGACCGACACATATCCTCGAGCTGTGGTTCTTACGTCAAAACTGAACCTTCCAGTCCTTCCTCCTCGCTAGTAGACACCGGCAGCCACCACAGTCCCAGCGGCAACTCTGACGCCAGCGGCGGCTACGTTCACGGCAGCAGCAGACACTCGCACGCCCTGGACTCCCCGCCAATGTTCAACCCAGCCATGCTCGGAGGTGGCGCAGCCTGCCTACGCCGCTACGAGGAGTGCTCCGGGGGTGTGGTGGACGACTCGCCAATCAAGTGCGAGTACATGCTTAATGCCATTCCCAAGAGGGTGTGCCTGGTGTGTGGCGACATTGCCTCAGGGTACCACTACGGGGTGGCCTCCTGTGAGGCCTGCAAAGCCTTTTTCAAAAGGACGATACAAGGTATTCCCCACTTCTTCTTACAACTTTCACTTGAGCTGGTCTCTAATGTCTGTTTGCTCTCAGTTAATCCAGAAAATAATGATGTTTTCTGAAATTTCCCAGGTGGTTGAGTAGTACACAAAGAAAGTGGTTACCCCTATTAATGCAGGTGTACTGTAACTTTGGTCACAGTGCAAAAATACTATTTTTTCATTATCCTAAATGCTTTATATTAGCTTTACCATGACATTTGTGATTGCCAGTAAAGCATGTTGACCTGATGAGGAATCAATTGTCATGTGTCCCACATGTTCCCCAGTGCTGGTATCCAACCCTCTGCTCTGCTGGGACTAATACGAGTTAGTGATTACGTGAGTCTACAGCAGGCATTAGGCCCAGACTGTAAATCTGCTCAGGGTAGGTGATTTTTTGATGTGTTTGCATGTGATTTCGACGTCTGGCATCGACTCTGCCATGTGTGGGAGCTGTTCCAGAATAATCACTTGGACAGAGATAATGTGATGCAAACTGAGATGCAGAATTTAGAATTTTATCTGCAGGATTTGTGTCTGTAGACATTGAGTTTGACAGCAGGTCAGTGAGGTCCTGGCCACATTGAGGCATGTACATTTAAACTCTTCTGAATTACTGAAACAAAACAAAACAGTTAAATTCCTATCTTCTTCATTCTTATTTATTTATTTATTTTGAATAATGGTGCATTACTGCCAACATAAGGTAAGGAATGTGGCTGATTTAATAAAGATCTCTGGCTACATTACTTGAAAATGTAGCCAGAGACACTCTCTGTAATCACTTTTGTGCTTCACTGTAGCCCGACACACTTCACAGGTGTTATATATATTCCTGTTTCCACTGTTAGACACAACTATATACAATAGTGGCATAATTTTCACAGACAGTGTTCGCTGTTTACCAAGTCTAGCAGTATTCTCAGCTGCTGCACAGATATTATTGATAAATTCAGTAGTTTGTGCTTTCGCCAAAACAGAATGTCAATGATAACACCTCCAGGTCGCCTGTATTGACTTAAAAAATAAGCTATCGCAAAGAAAAGTGGACACAAGAAGAATGTGTCATCTTGTAACGTTGCTCTTAAGTGGATTATGGTTGACAAGTGGACAGCATACAATAAGGACAAACATTTTTCAAAAGTTTAAGCATTTTTGCAAAGGTTTTTGCTCATGGAAAATGCCACATGGCAGGAAAATTAATTTTCCAGCACAAGTTAATGTTTAATTTGGTAATTTAAAAGCTGCATGTGTTTCAATATGACCAGTAACACAGTGAAGGACTGTAAATAGTGTGACTTTGTGTTGTCTTGCACAGATCCACACTCTTCTTCTTCTTCTTCTTCTTCTTCTTCTTCTTCTTCTTCTTCTCTTGCTCTCCTTCGTGGATGACAGGCCCATAATGAACCTAATCTGTCCATCATTTGTCCTGAGCTGCGGGAGTTTCAGTCAATAACAATCAGTGTTGGGTGACTGTAATTAAGAACCAGGCATTTCATTGGGAGAGAGACGAGGAAGGAGGGTGGGAGGTGTGGATCTGTTCTTTGCCCCCGGGCCCCTCCAGCCCACACCCAAGGGGAAGGAGATGGGGGGCCAATTAGAAGCTCAGGCACGTGTTATCGGGGCAGTAACAGAGGAAGGGGAAAGAGAGGGAGAGAGAGACGCTGAGGAGTCCTCCAAATAAAAGGCAGAGGGACAAGGGACAGGGGACGTGGTCACTAACTGAAAGGAGAAGCCGCTTTAATGGCATGGTAATCAGAAAGGGGGGTCCCGGCCTTGGTAAAGGAGGAGGACAAGGAGAGGTCCAGCTTGAGTGGAGATGAGCGCGTGGATAATAGCGTGGCATAACAATATATCAAAATTTAGAGGGAAAATAAGAGAGGTTAAGGAACGATATTAGAGTGGTTGAAATGTCCTCTGAGAAATAAAGGTGGACACAAGACCTGATTAACTAAGAGGGTATGCCGACAGTGAGCTTTTAGAGGTAGGCAATTTAAGATTATTGTGGACCCCTAATGCACCCTGCACCTCACACACATACTCATGAACACACACACACAGGTTATTTTTGAGTATTAAATGTATAAAATGTTTCCTTTAATAATCCAAAAAATATTAAATGAATGTGACCTTTTTTATTGTTTTTTCAATTGTTGCATAATATGTTTAGGAATAAAAAACAACACGATCAGGAAAAGTCAGCATGCTTACTAAAAAAACCTGTTCACTCTATTCCCTCAGAGGTTTACTCTATAATGAGCAGTGGAGATTTCAGGCACTTCATCATCATTTTTGCATCATCACTGACAGGTGTACAATGCGATGCATTGCACTGTGGGATTGTTGGAGGAAAGTAGCCAGATTTGTTTCCTGTTCCATGGTGGAACATTTTGAGGGCACTATATAGTGGATAAATTTCACACAATTTAGACACTAACATGATGGGCATTAGATAAAGTGCAGATAAAAGGGTGATATAGGACTCAGCCTTAATGGTGATGTGCACCACTTCTCCACAATGAGCTCACAGCTGCAAACAGCAGATGTTGGTGACAAAAATAAAAACAAAAAAGTTATATCTTTAGAAAAACATTTAGTTTTTCTTTCTGAAGTTACAGATTAATTGATGTCCAGCAGCACAAATATTAAATCATTTTCTGCTAGTACAAAATAGTACATCAGCTGTGCCCAAATTCCACTTTACATACTAATTATATACAATATGTACTATATACTGTAGTAATTGTCATAGTGCTGTTTTTGCATTATACAGTGACAAAGTACTTTACCGTTTGTTGCTGACTGGAAATGATGCAATACATGTGCTATCAGTCTGGGACTGGGACTATGAAACTGCCAATAAAACAAAAAAAAATTTTTGTTGTTGTTTTTTTTTTTTTAAAGATACACATTTTTCTTTCTTATGTGGCTTTCTATTGTGCTTTGCATTGTGGGACATTAGTGTATATCAAAAATCAAGCATTGTTTTAGAATGCATACTTTTGTGTACTGAACGCAGTCCATTATCAAAACCTGTTTAGTGTCCAGAGGTAGGAAGAAATTAGGACAAAGTCATTCAATCATATTTTAATTACATAAACAGTATAATATGACAATCAGTATTTAGTACAGGGTGTGTAGAATTAGTTGGTAACATAGACTTGGTACACGGCATGTGTCTCTACACATGAGCACTGCACTTTACTGGATTTTCTCTCTGCTAACACATTTCAGTTTTCCTACCTTGAAACCAGCAGCAGCCTCTGCGAACATCCTGGCATGGTGCCCCTGGCCCCTCACTGTGCATGTGACCCTGCTGGCACCATCAATGCCAGGGATCCTGACAAATGTTGGCACCTTCTCCTTGACCAACAGGGGATTGTATGTGTGTGTGTTGTGGGAAGGAGGGGGCAGCTCTGGCAGATCTACCACAGACAACACCTGGTTTGCTGTTTTTAGGTACCATTAATACATCTCTAGACTTATGGGACATTGTTTAAGCATTCAATCAAGGGATTTGGATACTTGGGAAAGAGGATTTGTCATTGGATTCTTGGGGTCACATCAACTTTTGAAGTGGCTGAGTAATGATCCTGTAAAAAACTGTTAACCGGAACCTGGTGAGAAAAACAGGCAGCGGTTATATGGCAGCAGATTCAATAAGTCTGCATTTCAGGCTCTTTTTTTTTTTGGACCCAAGTGATTAAATTGCATAGGAAATACTTCCATAGTGAGCCAACAACCGCCGAGACGGACGTGAATAATACATCGAGCTTTGCTACATGATATGGGAGTCTGAGATTGGCGCATCTAACAGCAGCTCTTGGTCTTTACTGGAGAACATTATGCAGAGCGCTCGGCTGTGCGTCCATCTCTTAGCCCTTGTGTTGTTGTCCTTTAGGTGAAGAAGGATTGGCTGGAAGGGGTCGTGGTGAGCGTTGCAGAGAGGACACTCTGCATTAATGAAGCTAATTTATCTGTGAATCAGAATGGGGGTGGGACTCCGGGGCGGGGAGGTGCTTTTTACATGTCCCATCAAAATGCCACTAAACCCTCCTCTCCTTCAGGAGTGTCAGACAGGGTCACCTTGGGACAGGTGTGTGTGTGTGTATGCACAAGAATGTGTTGTATATTTCACCGTCTTTCTGCGTCTCTTGTTTACCATGTCTGATTTTGTCTCCTCCTTTTCTATACTATAAATCTAAAATGAATTTCTCCTAACTGCTCATGTGCGTCTTTTGTGCTCAGAGAATTAATGACAATGTGTTTTTCTAATCTTCTACAGGGAACATTGAGTACAGCTGTCCAGCCACCAATGAATGTGAGATCACCAAAAGGAGACGCAAGTCGTGCCAGGCCTGCCGCTTCATGAAATGTCTTAAAGTTGGCATGTTGAAAGAAGGTGAGTGCAGGTTATTTTTATTTTTTTATGTGTTTTCTTATTACTTAGTTCAACTTCAATATCATTTAAGAGAGATAGTGCTGAAGACATTTTATCATCACGTGATGTGATCTGCTACTATTTTGACAACCATTTAAATTTTTAGGTCAAATATCAGGCCAAAAATTATCTGGTGCCAACTTCTCAAAAGTAAAGTTCTGTTACTTTTCTCTGCGTTATATCACGTCATTCACGCCGGAAAAGCTATTTTTCACTATTTTGTGACGTTTTATAGACAAAGGCATTTAAATAATTGTTAGTTGCAGCTGTGATGAGATTTTAAACAGGGCTTATAGGTCTCAAGAAGTCAAGAAAATGATGATAAAAGTAGAAATCAAAAGGGAAAAAAATGGTTAGTGATTAAGTATTTTTTTAGTATTTTTTTAAAACAGTGACCACTGATCTTAGTGTGTACAGCATTTTCAGGCAACGTGTCGGGGAAATTTTCCTCCCATTCTTCTGATGTCTATGTTTTATTATAATTTAAAGAATAAATCTGCCCTGTATGGGACTAAGCTTAAAGCAATAGTGTTTTTTTTATCACAATGAGTTGATAAATACAAGGTTTTAATCTAAACACTACCAAGTAAAGGCATACTTTTTAGGGTTATAGTTTGTGTTGGAATGAAGAATAAAGGGTCTATCTCAATCTTGATCTTGAATAGTCTTACTGGGGGCTAGAAGATTGGTCAATGAACAGATATTAAAGCTGGTTGTGGCCTCGGGGAGACACCAGTGACATCACCCACAAGCTTCACTCACCTCTCCTCACACCTGCAGAGCCTCTCAGCGTTTAACTTTAACAGACAGTGGATAAAACTGCTGAATTTGATGTTCCTTCCAAGACTGGCTGAGAAGTGTAACACTACTCTTGAAAAGCACAGGCTGTTCCCCCAAGACTTCCCTCTCCCCTGGGCACTGGGTGTCTCTCTCCGTCACCCTCTCTCTGTTTCTCCCTCTCTGTCTCTCTGTCTGTCTCCCTTCCCCTCTATTGCCTGGCATATTGATCCACTAAATGCTTTCCGAACATCCCACCTCACTTCCTGCATGTGTTGTTTCTCCTCCGTTGAGAGACCTTTGGGATTTACGGAAGGAAAACCTAGCTGAAAGATTTTTTTTCTGTTTCTTTTGTTTCCAAGGAAATAGGTTGGGTTTTTTTGATTGTTTGTTTTGCATCGTGTGTTTAGCTAGAAGAGCTATTCTACACTGATGCAAAGAGTTTAGCTCTAAGTTGTGCTTTTACAGAGAGTATTATAATTCCTAATGCTGAATTGGGACATCACTGTACATACATTAGTCGTTAGACGTTTATGCAACCAGACCTTAAAAATATCTTCCATTATGAAAATATGACCCTTTCTTTATTAAATTTCTGTCTGTGACACAAAATACATCAAATGTAGCTGTTAACAGTAATGTGATTGGGGCAATATAACTCTTAAAATTCATATTTTTCTTTATTGATCTCAGGAAGGGCAATTTGTTTGCAGCTTACCCAGTCCATACCCACGACAAACTCACAGACAGGGTTGTTATATTTCAGAGGTACAGATCAACATACATAGGGCCAAACAGGTAACGACGATCAGCAATAAATAAAATAAAAAAACATTTGTTATAGTTCATATATATATATATATATATATATATATAGAGAGAGAGAGAGAGAGAGAGAGAGAGAGAGAGAGACAACTCCAGTGCAAGTAAGTATCATGTGTAATTTATTTGTTGAATTCCATGCCATGTAATTCACTGGCACACATTTTTTCCCCCCTCCAATATTAGTTACTTCCGAGGGAGATACATATGGCAAAAATGCTGCGGGAGATAAAAGGGACAGGTGAAAGCTGGTGAAAACTACAGGAAGTTGGTCAGTATAGTTTGGCTGTTAATTTTGCCCACTTGTAAGCAGTTGGAGCTACAGCAGTGGCTGTGAAACAAAGTGCATCGACGCAGATGAAAGCCTTAGCACCCCTCCCACTGCAGTCGTTAACATCATGAATTCTTACTACTTTGTGGAGTGATAATTCAGACACACCTGAACACATAGGCATGATGCACATATTTTTTAATTCAGTGTGACTTAAGCTCTTCAAGGATATCATTATCCCAGATGTCCATTGCGAATAAAAATCCATAAATAAATATGCTTAGAAATCAGAGAAAAATAGACGCTCCTTCTAACTCGAGAACTTGCCAGAGAATCTTTGAATTTGGTGCCAAAATGTGAACATTGTGATTTTGTGTGATGGGGGTCAAATTTTAAACCCCTCGTTTAGATCCACCTTACCAACACTCAGTTTGAACTTTAGTTGAATAGCTTTACACTAGTGTGTTTTAATACATATTCAATAACACATTATTTTACTTCTGGTGGCGTTAGCATCCCTTCACAAAGTTAGGACCAGCATGAGATTCCCAGTTTGGAGACAAATTACACCAGGTTATGTTTAGCCCACCACCATCGGTGTAGGATATACATCAGTGGTCAGTAATAGGCGGCCCGCAGGCCAAAGCTGGCCCGCCAGCAATAATATCTGGCACGTGGCACAGTAAATGTTGGACTATAAATGGTCAATTGACGATAGTCATCTAATGACATGAAAAAACTTTGGCCCGATGCCAGACTTATTTGCCGACCCCTGATATACATCCTAATATTAAAAGGAGCATTTAAAGAATTTGTTTTTAAGCTCCACTTATAGACACAACAGTCCTAAAATGAAACCATGGCCACAGTTCTTTTGTGTTCTGCCAACACCAAAAGACATCTCATAATAGAAGCCAGCCGCAGTTAACTGCAATCTATGCTAGTAACACAAGATTGTATATCAGGCTCTTGGTTCACTTCCACTAATACCGCTTCACTATGTTCTGACGTAGCTGTGTTTGTTCATCTCAGAATGAAGGGTCATCCATTGTATTGCCATTACACCACTATTCATACATGCGCCCACTCTTGATGTCTTCATCCTGGCCCAAATATCTCACACCGAGGTCTCTCTTTGACTCTCTGCCAGAAAAAACAACGTTGCTGAAGAAATAAAGCCGAAACTATTAGCGCATGCTTAGAGGAAAAACGGAGAGGTATTGTCTTTGGTGGGCCGAGCTAAGCCGTTGATGTGAACAGTCACTGTGTGTGTGAGGGGGAATTTGGTGGTGTAGCCACCACAGCCTGCCGCTCCTGAGACACAGCATCACAGCCCAGTAGGTGATTCTCTGAAAGTGATGGCATTCAAATAAAAGGAAAAAGGACATTTAATCATGGCACATTGCTGTGGCGTGGCCTCTTATAGACTTGGGGGGGCTTTGATCATGGAATCAGTGGGGGACAGCATCTTGCCCTACTTCATGTAATGAGATCACCGTATAACAAGTGGCCAAAGGCTGGTCATGGAAAAGGAATAATCACATAGTGTTATATCATTATAGGTGTCATGTACGAAGCAATCTAGTCTAGTCTTAAAGGACCTACCTAGCATTTTTATATTAAAATCTTCTACTATTAACTTCTGTTACCATCCAAATATTGACCAAATTATTAACATTTAATAGTGAATTCCTCATGAATTCTCTTTAGCATTGCTCACATTACAAACTTCCTTCGCTCACAACATACCAAAGTTATGTTTTTATTTCTTACAGTGCGGCAGTATCATAAGAAATGCCTCGTGCTTCAGAAGATATTGAGAGAACTTATGCGATCAGTCGTTCTAAAAGTATCTTAATATTTCCACCAGGACCCTCTAAGCTCCGCTCTAAGCATGCCATCCTGAATTATAAACTGCCAGCTGCCACAGTTATAGACCATGCACCATTGGTGCAAACCCCTCCTCCTTTCTAACACCTGCCGCTAATCAGCTGACTTCACTTCTCAAGCCTTGTTTGGTGGCTTCAGGTGTGTTTGGAGGTTTAGGTCCAAATAACTCCCCTTCTTAGAAGTAGCAGCTTAGCACACTTTAGCAAGGAGCAGAGTAAGCAAAATGTTTCAATACATTAAATAAAGTGTGTGTAATTTATCCCTAAGCAACGCAAGAGATTTGACCATTATACATAAGTATGCTCAACAGTCACAGTCTGTGTGATTTCATATCTTGTATATCAGAGAAAAATCAAAGACTCCTGGAAAAAATATTGTAGAAGACAGGTTTCTTTCCAAATCCGGCTTCACTGCTGTGCCACAGCTGTGCCACAGCAGAGCGCCTGCATGAGCTGGGTGGTAGGTAGAGGCAGACAGCTGTTTGAGGAAACCAGCCCCGCTCAGTGACCCCTTAAATGTCCAGTGGAGGCTGATAAAAGGTCACAGGTCCAATGGAAAAACCCTCACGCAATTACAACTCGCGGAAGGTATGGTGTCAGCCGCTACTGCCAGGAGTCAGTGCCCGCGGCTAATAGCAGCGCTAATTACTCCATAGCATTACTGTATGGTGTTAAATGATGCAAGAATTTTCTGGACCGAATAAGCATTTTTTGACTTTGTGATTTGAGTCACTCTTGTTATCTTCTGCTGAAGATGCAAGATTTATTTTTAGCTTTTTGTAGTTTTATTGCTGCAACAAAATCTGCGTATCGAGTGATCACATCATCATGTTAGCAAATTAGCATGTTGAAAAAGTATGTCCTATTGAAATTGCACACAGCCCAGTGAAATTCTGTCATGAATGAACATTTTGAACAATTTCAATAAAAGACAAATGCCTTTTTGCTCTTTGGAAGCCAATGTTTGCTGGTTTTAGTGTTAGCTCAGTGTTTCTGTGGTGTATTCTTTGCTTGTGGGGATTTTCTGACAGCAATGTAATGTGCTGGATGAACACAAGCTGCCAGACTATTTTGGCAACCTACACCGCTGTCTCGCCCTCGCCTGACCACAGATAGGGATCAGCAGTCTTTCCTGAGCGAACGTGGCTACCGGGGTAACGTTACAGCCTTATTTTCCTCCAGCCACATACACAAAAGATTAGTAAAGCCATATCCAATATCACAGACTGTCAGGTCCCTTTCCAATCAATAGGCTTAGATCAGAAACCAATCTATACACTAAGATTACATCATCAAAATAAAGATATAGCAAACGCCTATTACTGTATGGGTGCCTTTAAAGTCTTAACGAATACATTTAGACAGCACGTGTCTACAAAACCAGATTCAGTTTTGTCTGTTTTGCTCTGTATCTGTGTATTCCAGGAAATTCAGCTGTAAAGCCTGAATGCCCTCTGACCCCTTTGCCACTTGATTTGTTTCTTGTACCACAAACATGTTTATCTAACAGCACTTGTATGGGGCCTTGTTTGCTTTTTAGGGTGTCAGAGTAGCTGGCAGACCGCAGCTGAAAGTCAGCGCCCACCCAGCGGCTCTGCGCTGGCCTGTCCTCACTGTCTGGCAGGTGATAGATCAGACACGGAGGCTAACACGTGTTCCTCTGAAGAAGGGGATTTAGCGAAGTGCTGACCTCTTTACAACCCTGTGATACACACACTCGACCCACAACACACACATTCATGTCACACATGCCAAATGTATATCAATGTATATCAACCCTGACAAGTGACATGGGGTAGGACCTTGAGGTACATGTCTCCCGCTGGCACTCTTCTCCCTCTGTGTCTTTGCCTCTTTCACCCACTCTAGCACACAACAATTTGTGCGAACGCCACAAACCGAACGGCTGCTGCGCCAAATACACCAGGGATCCTGAATCGACCCGGCCATCTCCAGCCATGCAGATGTTTTTGATTACAGGCACATTTGTGGTCAGCGTGGCTCAGTAATACACAGTAATACCCCTTATGGACACGCCGGCTCAGATTTATGAAAAGTGTAAAACATGATAAAGAGAGCAGTGCCAATGTTCGCAGTTATGGGAGAATAACTCCAGCTTTGTCTTGTCAGCTCATCGGGGGTTAGAGCAGGTGGGACGCCATCGTGATACACCCCCCTCTCTTCCCCTTGTCCGCTACACATTTTCCTCTACCCTCCCTCTCTCTGTGCAGCCCACCCAGACTCTGTACAATCAAACAAAAGCTGCCCGATGCCTTTAGCTCTTTGCAGGCTTGTAGACTCGGCCCTCAGAAGTAGCTCTGGAAGTCAAGGTCCCCGTATAAAGGGTGAGCGACTGTGTAGGAGGGGGGTGCACACTGCATCCCTCTGATTTTTCCCAGCTAAAATAGGGAGCTCCTAATCTCCCTTTGGCAGCATTAGCCATCCAGCCAATTCTGACACATTCTCTAGAAAGAAGCGCCTCTGACAGGTGAGGGGCCGAAAATAGTTGCGTGAGATACACACATACACACACACACACACACACACACACACACACACACACACACACACACACTCATGCACATGTTCATAGAGCAACACAGAAGATTGACACACACTGTATGACCCACATGCACATTTGTGTGATGAAATCTGTTCTCTTTAGAGCTTCTACTGCTCTGATTTTTTATGGTTAAATTTATACAGTGTGCATGCCCGTAGCCATTGAGAACACTAAAGGTATGTTGTCTGTACTGGGAATCTGAGGGATTTAACAACAGCAAGGAGTTACATGCTATGATTTAAACAAAAACTTAGTAGGCGTTTTATTGGATGATTCTAGTATCTTTTGATTTTTACTCCTTTTAGGCAGGCAAAAATAAAAATAAATAAAAGATGAATTATTTACATTTAATTATTTATTTACCCACCAGAATTTAGTTCCTGGCAGCAAGTAGAAGGTGCATTTAGACCATGCTGGGCCTTGTTGTTATGAAATTTACAGAAAATGTAAGTACATAAATAAATGAAATAAAATATGACACATCCAAGTAATTATTTTAGTGTATTTTAGTGACTATCTTTGGTGTTCGTGTTGGTGGGACTTCATTAAACCTAAAACCCTGGCTGCGAACTGGCTGTATGATTTTTAAATCGTTTTTTTTTTATGTGGACATAAAAGGAGGATTGGTGAAGTGAACAGGGAACCACATAAAGAATAAATAATAAACGCATAAAAGAATAGAATAAATCCACATGACACATACACACAGCCGCCGCCACATAAAGGAAAACACAGCCGCTTCAATCAGGAATGTGGTTTAAGGTTCGCACGAGTCAATAAAGATATTAAATGTGAAAGGGAAGCCGGGGTCAGGTGGCCGTAAAGATTGCTCCTATGCAAACATGCCTCATCGTTTTTCCACACACATGTTCGTACGTACGCACAAACACATGAATACACACAGAGCAAAGATGGACTGTCAGCCATTATCTTTGTGTCTCAGGCCGTTTCTGTCATAGTCTGCACACAAGTTATGAGCATACTTTACTGTATGATCTTACCGAGCTCATAACATTCAGCGCACACATTTTTAACACCTCCCATTCCGCGTGCTCTTTTACCCCATAACCTCACCCCCTGCATCCATATTTTGGCTGCCACACTTTATGTAGAGCCAGCAACCATAAAATGGATCTAGATGCTTTTAAGATGATCTGTGCACCCCATGTCACAGGCTCTCCTCTGGAGCAGATTGTCTTCAAGCATGGCGGCTGCTGTGGTTTTGGGCCTGAGGTGTGGAATGTGGTGCTGACGATGACACCACAGCCCCCCCAACCGCCCACCCCCTCCCCGTCCCTCTACAAGGGGCCTCATCCAGCTGTCTTGTTGTGGTCAGATTCTCAGTACTGTGCCATATCACATGGGGAGGAGATAATCCCGCACTGGTCGGATCAGGCGCTGGCTGGGACAGGCAGGGCTGTCAGGGAGGAGATGTACACCCGATGCTGAAAGGGAGAGGAAAGAGAGACAGGCAGAAGGAAAAATGAGAGAAAGAAAAACAGAGATCTTGCAGAAAACTGATACATTCGGCCAAAAACAGCAGCTTGTTCTGTCTTGTTCCCCGGCCCTCCTGTTGTTCATCATTATCTAACCCCTTTTTTCCCCTCAGTCATTCTCTCTGCCCTCCTGCTTTGAGTCTCTGCCGTTTGCAGCGCTGCTAAGCTGTAAACTGAAACTGGTTAGCGCTGAGCTCTTAATTCTTGTCAGCGTCTATTAATTATGGGCCAGTTGGATGTTCCAGTTCAAACAGCCCCCGCGGATCTTGGAATTCTAACTCCGGCTGTTTGGTCACTTGTCGCTTGTTGCAGCCACATGACCCTGCAGCCTGCAGCAGGGAAAACTGTGTGTGTGTGTGTGTGTGTGTGTGTGTGTGTGTGCGTGCGTGCATGCATGTGCATATGGTAGTAGATGTCAGGGACAAAAGCAGCAACAATTCGCTGTCACTTAGTTGGACAAGTACTTCGGTGGATTTAGGGAATACACCTGCTTAATATATTTTTGCATTACACAAGCTTTTTGTTTTGAAAACCTTTATTAGGCCTATTTGTGTCATTAAATATAGAGAAGCTTTCGAATTGATTTAATATCTGGAGTACATGTGGACACACGCTCCTGAACTACAATTTATAATTTCAAATGTACCTTAACCAAGAGTAATGGTAAGAACAACTACTGAAGCTCCATCTATCGCAAACCCAGTTCCTAGCTGCCTAACTGACTAATTAAAACCGCATCCACATGTGTTCAAAGAACAAGAAGTCTATTTGCAAGCCTTATTGATTACTTTAAGGCGTACAAATGGAAAGCTGTGTTAGGAGAGGGGCTCTCGATTTAGCTTCAATCTGCCAGGCATAAAATGATCTCACTGTGTTTGCTGGGAAGAATGAGCTCCCTCTGGGCACGGTGGGTAATTAGGTTAGTGGATAGTCGGTGTCAGGAAATTGAAAGACCATCCTAATCGGATTCTTTTGTTTCCAGGGGAATCAAAGGAATGTATATGAGTCACTGGGAAATCTCACACGACTCAATTCCACTTGACCATGTAAAATCTGTTTGCTCTTGCTCAATGCTCAAACAGCTTTTAATACAAGAGTGTAAATCCAGCACATAAGGTGCATCTGATGTGGTCTGTGTCCTCTGAGATGGCTTTCAGGATAATCCCAGATATGTCCGTTTGTATACTAACTAGATACTTACACTCCTCCATCTGTAACAGGGAGGTATTGAACAGTCCCTCTTTCAGTTAAAAGGTCACAAAATAAAGGAAATAAACTCCCATTTATATGCATATACAATTACTAACACAGGAATAAATTACTACGGCATTTGAAAGACTTGGTATCCCAGTTATGAATACACTATAACCACAAAAAAAACCTTGATACAGAAGAAATTCTCCTCAGTTTTGGTTGGATACAGTGTGTCATAACAAATTTAAAAATAATAAAAAAACACTGAAATTCTTGAGAGAGATTTATGACTCAGCAAAATATATGCAAATAGACTATTATCATTAGAAGTAGTGGTAGCTGTAATAGCATAAAATTCGCCATGTGGCATTTAACTAAATCGAATCATGTCCGATTTAGTTAATAGAGAAAAAATGAACCAGCAAACAGAACATAATAAATAATAATAAATGCTGCAACTGAATGGAGCTCTTTGATCAGATTAGTTCTGTTTTATTCAATTCAAAATCAGTTTAATGCACTCCTAAAAATGCCTTTTGGTTTAGCTGCCATTTATACATGTGTGATATCTTTTGCAGGTGTGCGTCTGGACCGGGTGAGAGGGGGGAGACAGAAGTACAAACGGAGGTTGGACGCAGAGAACAGCGCCTATCTCGGCCTCACCATCCCCCCTCCAGCCAAAAAGCCATGTGAGTCACACAGTTTGATTTTAGTTTTCTCTACCTGACTCAGCTGACTGTCGCAAGCTCTGATGGTACATTAGAATTAGAGAAAGGCTTAATTTTTCATAACAAAGCATCAGTTTCACAACTTGGGACATGAATTCATTTTACAAAACATCTCATCGAGGAATATGTGCACAATCGTGACAGGAATATCTGTGTTCAGTTATGCTGTAGTCATATTCATCAGCAGGCCAACCTGACAGCTTCTTTAAACTTGGCGCCATATATTGTGAGCACTTTGCAAATATATTTTTTTATAAATTTCTTGTTGTTGTTTTTAAAATTCTGCATATGTTGTCGCCTAAAATTGTCTCACACATTTCTCTCTCCATTTCTGCATCCTTCCTTCCCTCCTTTCAGTGACGAAGATCGTTTCCCATCTGTTGGTGGTGGAGCCAGAGAAGATCTATGCCATGCCTGACCCCACCATGCCCGATGGAGACATCAAGGCCCTGACCACACTGTGTGACTTGGCCGACCGCGAACTGGTTGTCATCATCGGCTGGGCAAAACATATCCCAGGTAGAGAGACATGACTGCTAATGAATGACTGTGCTGTCTGGGATATGGGTTTTCGGAACCTATTCATTTCTTAATTGATATTTCCGGCACTTGAATACTTAATTATGTTTTCAATTGACAAATAACTGCACGACATTAGAACCAGAAATAGGGTAATCTAACCAGTTGTTTTGGTTGTTCAGTTGTAACTGGATTCATGAAATGAATTCAGTGGTCTTGCGGTTGGTAAAGCAAGGAAGTAAACCCACATTCACACTTTAATTTGCTAAAACGAATACAGTATGAGATTACTGAAGTAGTTCACTGACTGTTGCACAAACATAAACGCACCCCACACCACCCACCCCACACACACACACAAACGTTCATGCACACACAGGATAATTAACATCTGCTACTCATCTGCACCTAAGGGAGAAGCTAGTCCCATATTCTAAAATCTAATCAATAAAGAGCAGCTGAAACCTTTGATTTGACTGGGTAGGGTGGGAGAGTCTTGGGGGAAGGGTCCGCCCCTATGTCAATGTATTCCATTTCAATCCCAGACTTAAAGGCAATCCTCTTACTTACTTAAGGAGACTATGCAGGGCCTATTGTAAAATTGATTTATTTAGGGAAATACTGATGGATTTCCCTGGCCCTTGTTGACGAATTCTTAAATAAGACTTGTTATGCAAATGTTCTAAGATGTGCTTTTCTTTTCATCTCTATCAGTTTAAACAGACACTTTGGGTCGCAGTATGTTTAAAGGGAGCACAGGTTGGATTCAAAGTAAATACACCTCATTGATCCAATCAAGTATAGACAAACCTGCACAAGTGGCCAATTAAATCAATTCAACATTTTTGAATGCAATGTATTGCTTCAACAATCAATTAACTGCCTGTAATTTTCTCACTTAATCAATTAAATGCCCATCACAATTCCTCACAACACTGCAATATGTTTGATTTACACCAATATAAAACAAAGAAAAGCAGCAAATCCTCACTAACAGCGCTTGATGTTTTTTACTTGAAAAACAACTGAAATGTTTTGCATTCCCTTCTCCTTCACAAGTAGACAACTAAACATAGTAACTGAATTTTTATTCCTTACCTGTGGATTCATACACTAATTTCCCAGCCGGCAGAGCACTAACCAGCTGTCTGTCCAGGGCTAGCCCTAATCATTGATTTGTTATCAGATTTATGTGTAACACCAGAATTAATGCAATTTGGAGTGGCTGAAGGTGTGTTGATTCTAGCAACTTTAGAGGATTGACTTTGCAAAGACACAGGAGAGTGCGGCGGTCTGATTCGGAGATTTGGCTTTGGAGGGACGCTGGTATACAAGGAAAGTATGCTTCAGTGGGAAGATGCTTTAACAGGGACAAAAGAAGCATCCCTGATCTGATATTTTGTGGAAAAGAGGCAGAATAGGGTATTTACAGTAAAATTCTTCAATTTAATCTTAGCCGTGCAGAAATGAATTCAAGAAATTTACATATAGCTCTGTTACATTTTCCATGTATAACTATTGGTCTTGTATAGTATGAAGATCTAAATCCAAGACCTGACAGAGTTGTATGTAAGGGGCATGTGACACTCTGGGGACATTTTACCTGGGGCCACCGGGTCAGAGTGTCACCAAGTAACGATTAAGACAAAAGGGGTCCCGACAGTTTAACAGTCCACTCCCACCATTACACTCATAGCCCACTGCGCAAATGGCCTTAACGATGAGGTAATAAGAGTCATTACTGCAGATCGGTCCATTAATGTAAAAGTCCTTCAACATCCAGATGTGGAGACATGAGAGGAAACAGGCAATGTTGAATAGGTTCTCTGTTACATGTTGTTAATTAAAGGCTTAAATATTTGTGGTAAATAGCAGGGCTCAGCACAACCTTCTACTTTAATGTGCACAAGATTGCTTTTTGCTTTTAACGTGAAAGCAAATATTTGGACCAAATTTAAAGTAGAAGCATTCAAAATAAAACAAATGAAACGCATCCAAAACTGTATTTCCTGTGTTTGAAGCAGAAGTTAAGCATGTTTGCGAGGATGTAACTCATTACTTGCCTGCCACTGACTGGATGTTACACACACAGTGATGACCATGGTAACAGAATGGTTATGTAAGTGCATGAAACATGTGCAGGTTTATATTCCCAGCAACAGCATTCAGCGCCCTCCGGTATTTAATGTTCACTTAGTTCAGCGCATCATTTTCTTCTTCATTCCTCCCTTTTTCTCTGCTGCTCACACGCAGACTCTCTCTGCCATCATATCTTTCACACACACTCTCTGGCTTCCTTGTTCTCATGTTCCCCTGGCTCTCCCCCTCCTACTCCTCCTGCTCATACAGGGCCCTCTAGTCTCATTATTACCTCTGTCTTTTTATTAGGCCCATTAGGGCTCTTAGGAGGCCTGTAATGATACTAAATGAATAGAGTGTGAACTGCTGTCTGTTTTAGGCCTAGCTCTCAATGACAGCTTCAAGCTTCACTGCCAGCCACTCAGTTTCGTCACTGTACTGAATAGGGATTCAATTACTAATCTGATGTGTACCTGTGCATAGCCAGAGCACTTCTCTTTCCTGCAAACAATCACATCCCACAGTATGTTGAGGATTAGGTACCTTATAGTAATAGACAGTTGGTATAACGTTAAATTATATGGTACTGTGGTTCGGCATGTCCTGTAAAATCATGGGGTGCTTATAGTATATTTACAGTCACAGTACAGTAACTAGACTTTAATTTCAAATTCACCATCCCTTAATCCTGCGTTACAAAGACGGACTTTGACAAAGATGGACTTTGACACCGGAGACCAGGATTTGCCTCCTGAGTCCTGCATGTGGTTAGGTTTAGGCAACAAAAGCATTTTGGTTAAGGCTGGGGAAAATTGTGGTTTTCAGTTAAGCATTTATAAAGTAAACACATCACGCCTCATGCTTCATGCTTCAATTTTGACTTTTTCAGTATTCAACCAAAACCATGAAACCATGATTTCCCTTGCTATGAGTGCCTAAAAATAATAATATATTTAATAATATTTAAGTTTTTATCACGCTTTAGTGCTCTGAGTGGAAAATAAACTTGGCAAATACGTAAATAAGTTTCCCCTAAAACTAGCCTAGCTTAGCAGAGTGTCAGTAAATGCCTCCTCAGCTTTTGAATCTAGTGAATTCACAAAGTAGTCTACTTTCTACGATAAACTGCTTTAAAATTACAAGTTTAATAGAAAGAAAGAAACCTGTCTCCTTGGATTTGCTGAAGATTGTCCAAAGGCAGAGTGCTGTATCTGCATTTTTAGGTGTATGACAGTGGTTTCTTAGTAGATAATGATGCATTATCTTATAGGACAGTGGAAAGCCTTGTCCCGGTTTAATTTTTTTGTCATCACAAGGGGAGAAGACTGGAGAGACAGAAACATAGACATTCCCCAGTTTGCTCAATATTGTGTCATGTTTGGTCAAACGGCAGTAAATCAGTGGGGTGAAATATTGATATTTCATCAGGGGGAATCACCTTCCACAGCGACACTTAACTCAGCCACCTCCGGGCGACGCACCTGAAGCTCCGGGGTGACCCCCGGGGAGTCAGGAAGTCACTCAGTAAATTGACTGGAAAGAAGAAGAAAAGTACAGGCTGAGGAAAAGAAAAAGATGAGGAGGGAAAGAGGAGTCAGCTGAAGAGGGTGACAGTTCTGTCATAGGAAAAGGAGTGTGAAGAAAAGGAGTATTGCAAAAAAAAAGAAAATTGAGCACATAACAAAAGAAATGGAGCCCCGAGCATGAAACGATTTAATGTATTAAACACATAATAATAATAGCATTATTTTATATCTGAATCACTGCACCTTTACAACTGTTTTTTTCTAACTCACTTTGGCTTTTTCTAGACATGTAACATGTTAAAAGTGTAGTCATTGATCCTCCATTATTCTTAATGCACCTTACAGGATTAAAGCCATTCAGTTTCTTGCAAACGTTTTGGGGATAGAGAGTAAATTCATTTGCGTTCCTGATGCAGCCTACAGTATCTACATTCAGTGATCCTGTAGTCGCCATCCCCCCCACCCACCACCCCCCACTAAACGTGTACCGGATGTCCTCCATCAGCTGTCTGTTTGTCAGATCTGAGGCTTGGATCGATCCCCCTTTCGCATTTGGTAGACTGATTACAATCTACTAATCAATGACACCCCCAGCACTCTTTTCTCTCTCTCTCGCTCTCTCTCCGTCGTTTCTCTATTTGCTTGATAAGAACCATCGGGAGGACCACTTTTAAGTCATCCTGCCCCATTCCCATCCATACAACCTCAGATTTAAGTAAGCATAGTGGTGGGTTAAAGTCCCTGGTCAATACCCCCAATCACCTTCCTATTCACTATAGAGTGGTGAAAGGTATTGTGGCGCTTGAGGTCCTTTCAGATGTCCGTCTGTTTGATGTGGTGTGTGTGAACGTTAGAGAAGAGAGTTGATGGGTCGACCTCGAGACCTTGGATGAATTGTAAACCCAGGTTCAGAAGGTTGAACATGAGACAAAAGAATCAAGAAGGTGCTTATCAGGTGGATATGTTTTGTGTTTTTTTGTTTTGTCTTGGACCGCCTCACCATCACCTTTGCTGGATTGAAAATCTTTCCCATCGCAGTACCATTATGTGACTTTTTAATAATAATGAACAATAATGAAATCAATCAGTAATTGTGTTTATGACTGATTTAACTTCCCATTTTAACCACAACTCTTTTTGTATATGCTTTAATGTGCTTTATATCCAAAAGGGTTTTCTTGCCTTCGTCGGTGTCAATGTCTGAGGTTGCTTTCAGTGTCTTTGTACGTATGTTGTTATTAATTAGTCAGGTGACTTAAAATAGACGTAAAAATAATAAATAAATAATATATGAATGTAAAGAAATATAAATGACCACAAATTGTAGATATACACAACATTACAACAAATACATACAAATCAAGTGAGCAAATGCCTCCGCTGGTGCAGGCCGGGAGGTGCAGTGGAAAGCTTTGGAAAAAAAGTGGACCTTAAGTTAAAGATTTGTTTTCTGCTTTTCAAAATTTTCTTTTTAATAAATGAAAGAAATAAAATAAAAATAGAGTATCTCAGTCGTAACACAAATCGAATCTTCATTATTTTCAGTACAAAATAACAAAATCAATACGCTTTCAACATCATCTTTCAAAATACAGCATACTCTTTCATCGCAGCAACAGTCAGGGATGACTCTCTATAATGTCTCACCAAATCTACGGTTGGCCTCAACATATCCCTCTTAAAATTTCCACTAAACTTCAATGGCTTCAAATTGAGCTCCTTGTTTAACCCTTTCAAATGCCTTATAATAAAATGCAAATGCTAAATGCTTCTATTTGCCTCTTTCTTGAAATTGCATGCGACTAATTGATTAACTTCATATAAAGAAAGCCCCCTGATGAAGTCTTGACAGCTGGAAAATGTTTGAGGAATGAAGCCCGCTGTATTAGAGAAGAGTTTTGCGACGTTGCTGGATAACTTCATATTATGACAGGTGGTAACACAAAAACCACAAATAATGGTTGCTTTATATTCAGTGCACTTCAAAATCCAGAATTGATTTTCTTTTGGCACAAAGACAAATTCTTTTTGTATTCATCTTCTTTACCGTGACAAGAACAAGAGATGGTTAGGTTTAAGGGTGGATTTGTCCTCACTAAGCAGTGTCTCATGTACTTATGTACGGGGGTTGCAAAAGGACTGACTGTTGACGGTTGATAGCCGAAGTAGCTCTGGCTCGTGTTTCAAAGGCCTCTACTCTTGACTGATTTATATTTTCCCCTTAAGCCACCACATACCGTCATCGGCCAGTGTTTCAAGTTGGACTTCTCCAGGGATTATGCGGCATTATATACACAGCCCATAAAACATACGGAGGACTTGGGACAGCCAATTACAGTGCAGTGAGGTTAATGGGTTGATGTCATGATTTGCCATGTGGTTATACAGTGTCCAGCAGTACCTGAAAGACAAATCTCAACAAGTAACTTTCTTTTTAATACTGCAGGTTTTTCCACTCTCTCGCTGGCAGACCAGATGAGTCTTCTGCAGAGTGCCTGGATGGAGATCCTGGTCCTGAGCATCGTGTTTCGCTCGCTGCCCTGTGAGGACGAGATTGTGTACGCAGAGGACTATGTGGTGGACGAGGAGCAGGCGAGGATCTCAAACCTGCTGGACCTGCACGTCGCCATCCTGCCGCTGGTCCGACGCTACAAGAAGCTGCGCATGGAGAAGGAGGAGTTTGTTGCGCTCAAAGCCATCGCCCTGGCCAACTCAGGTATGGTTAACCTCCTCAGTGTCACTGTGTGCTAGTATTAACATTGTTCAAACCATCTGAACTTTATTTTAACTTCTACTGGAGAAACTAAAGATTCCAATTATATCAAAGGCTGAATTTTGGGTAAATATTGGTGATGCAGTCTTTATATTGCGTCAATGAAAAGCTGGAACAAGATGATACAGAATATATATATATATATATATATATATATATATATATATATATATATATATATATATATATATGATACTGTCATGCAATGTGGAATAAGATATTTTTTCTGACATTAAAGTGGAAATACAATAAAAACTATTTTAGAGTTTGCACTGTAAAACAAAGTGTGAATTTGGTTCAGGCACTTAACAAAAAATGTTTATATTTAAAGGTATCATTAAGAACGTATTTTTATCGTAAATCACCATAATTTGGCAAAATATCCTTTATTTTGCTCTACAACCGCGGAGGTGTCATGACAGGAAGGTACATCCATATGGTAAATCTTAAATAAATCAAGATAGTTGGCATTTAATTAAAGCAAACAAAGAAATAAAACAAAACAAATGTCAAGTGGTCGTCTATATCTGGTGAGCCGATCACTTCCAAAATGAAGGACACCTGATAAGAGGGGGACAAAAAGGTCAGAGCCATGGTTGTTTCATTTAACACTCCCTATGTGTGAGAGTGTGTGTGCATCTATATTTTAATTTGTGTGCACATGCATGTGTGTGCGTGTGTGTGACTGTCACATTGCACTCTCATTCTCTCCATCTCCATAACAGTAGCTGCCAGCGCTCCACAGCCGAGGGAGATATATTTAGCATTTCATTAGGAAAACAGGGGCTGTCAATAAAATGTGTTAAGTGGAGTGGAATGAGCGTTGGGGAGTGACGGGCCTCGTTTGTTCCAATGTGAAGATGCTGCGCCCGTATCGACAGTTTGCTTTTCATGAGGCCGGGCCTGTCCCCCACTAATCAATGCCTGTTAGGAGTCTTTTCTCCTGCCTGACTGAAAAATGAAAAATGCTGAGACCAGAGCTTTAGTCTTCTGATGACAAACTCTCCAGTGGAGGGAGGGGAGGATAAATGGGAGGAGTGAGGTGGGGGGGGGGATCTAAAGGTAAGGGAGAAGTGTGAGAGAGGATGGCAGGGGTTGAGAGGGAGGCTCAGGGAGGGCGAAAGGGCAGCTTCGGCTCGTTTGAACACAGTCTCGGAGAGCTCCGGCTCCAGGGGTCCTGTGGGTGTGACAGCTGTGGAAATTCATGGCCATTGATTTTGTAATTAGCGGAGTATCGACGGGATTGACGCCAGGCTGCTGACGGATTACATGGAAATTGTTTCTTCAAAGTTAGTTTTGCATTCCGCCCCTAACCTCCTTAAACTCACACACACACACACACACACACACACACCTATATATGAACACACTGCATTTACACACACTGACACACATTTTTATTCAACATACTGCTTCTCCCCCTCCTCTCTCTGCTTCACACACACACACGCTTGCACAGCTAAACGAGGATCAGATCAGTATTAACATGAAGGTTTCAAATGAAGAGCGCTGGAACACATGTGCGGTCCACATAGCCTAGTTAATTTCCCAAGATAGAAACGCAATTTACACAGAAGGCGACTGGTAAAAGAGACTTAATCAGTCAGTTAGGAACATAATTAGCCTTGTACTTTCCTTTTTTCTGCCTCATTTACATGTTTGTACACGGTCTTACTTCACTCCGCAACTTTCATGACACATAGCAGAGCTGATCTAATTCACTCAACACGCTTCAATCAGCAGCAGCGTTTGGTTTAGTTTTAGTAATACAGTGCGTTTAGGATGAGACGAGGCCATCTTATTCTGTTAGATATACCAGGATGAATTGTTTGGATTCAATTATAATACCGAATTGAATCCACATTTTGTTGTACACAATTGTATCTGTGAGTTAATGAATTGTGGATATGATACACACACAGATTAGACTTGACACTGTAAGTCTGTGCAGTGATACTGGCTGAAAGCAAACCACTGCTTGTCCATTAAAACACTCTGTCAGCTTGTCCTTTGGAGGACAAGCCTGTTTTTTTTCAAACTTGTAGACTTACACATAGAGCAGTTTTTAATAAGTCTCAACTGGTTTCATTTTAGAGCATATACATAAGGGGGCCAACTGCTCTTTCTTATGGAAATGAAGGCCATCTGCCGCCATCATTCAGCTGAACGATATCCTAGTAATACAGCCATCTGAATTCATTAGCAGGGGGGATGTATGTGGTCCATGATACCAAAAGAAATGAATCTTTTTCCTGTCCCACCATATATTTATACAGACCTATAGCACCTCTCCCCCTCTCTCCCTAGAGTCCCAGCCACGCATAGGCATTTATTTAAGGAGCGTCATTAACCACTAACAAGAGAAAACCTCTCTCCAAAATCACATGTTTACAAAGACAGGCTGCAGAATTTAAAGCTGTAGATCTTTTATCATACTGCACATTTGTTTTTCATTGATTACATTACATGAATACATCATGTGTAGCTTTAAAATATAAATTATCTTTCTTTCTTCCTTCCTCCTCCGCCACCCTTCTTGTTTCAGACTCCATGCATATAGAGAACATTGAGGCGGTCCAAAGGCTCCAGGATTCTCTCCACGAGGCTCTGCAGGACTTTGAGGGCTCCCAGCATCCAGAGGACCCTCGACGGGCAGGCAAGCTGTTAATGACGCTGCCTCTGCTCCGTCAGACCGCCACCAAGGCGGTTCAGCACTTCTACAGCATCAAAATGCAGGGCAAAGTCCCCATGCACAAACTATTCCTCGAGATGTTGGAGGCCAAGGCTTGACACCCAGGCCTGACGTTTGACAGACAGCTGCATCACCCGATGGGAGGCGAGGGACAGCCCATAAAAAATGAAGGTGGTGTGCCAATTCACAGTGAAAGGATGAAGCTTGGACTACTGAGTCATTTTAACACTTTTAAATGGTAACAAACATGAAAGAAAAAGGGACTTGAGATAGTTTTAAAAACGGTGAATATCAACCTGATTGACATGGGATCATGATGATGTATATTAAGATGTTGTGTACAGAAATCAGGCAACCGAGGTCTTGTTATAACCAGAGACCCATTGCTCTATATCACCTGAAGCTTCTGTGAATTTGTTTCTTATCTTATTTTCATCTCAAAATGGAACTGTGTTAATATAAATGTCCTAAAGAACTGTACGGCTACGTAGCCACGTTACGTGTTTTTGTTTCTTCCTTTCACATTTTCTAATCTGAGTTGTTAAAGCAATAGTCTCTAACTGGTCTACATATAATATGTGTACTGTATATTGTGTGAAATTGCACTCGGCGGTTAGGGGGGGAGAATTGTTAAGACATATTCTTATATTCATCATCAAAGAAAGCGGTACCCGCCATGGGTATGTAAGATCCTCGATTTCCTCGTAATATATTTACCTCGTACTAGTAGCTTCAATGACTCAACCGTTTTAGTCAACTTGGTGCTTACAGAAGGACAATGGTTGGCTAGTGATTATAGTTCACAAAGAGTTTGCACTAAGCATCTATGAATAATATGGCGATAATGGTTATTGTTCTATGGAGCTCTTTCTGGTAACGTCTGAGTCTCAGTCAGTGGTTTTTGCTTATAGTGACTAAATCCCCTCCTCACTTCTCTCTGTGATCAATGTCATACACACATATTGGCAACTAAGCATACTGTGAAAAATACAGGTGATAAGCTATATTCTGTACTAGGGATTTTTAAACTAAACTCTATTGGCTTGTTAAAAAAAGATGAAAGTTATTTTTATTGAAATGCAGGTAATTGACACAACAACAGCAACATCTATGCAATTTAATGCAATCTAATCTGCTCCTTAATGCAACCTGATAGCCCTGCAATAAATACTACCTTTGTGATGTTTATAATGTTCAGTTTGTGTCCGATAGGTGCTGAGTCAACACTCTGGTAAGTTTTGAGTCTATAGTTTGTAATGGTGCTGTATTAGATTGCAATATATTGTATAGGCTTTGCTTTTTCTTGAATGCACCCTGCCCCCCTTTGTTTAGGTTGTATTCTCAAACAACAAGTGTCACTATATTGATAGCCTTAGTTATACAGCTAAACACGTTAGTCCTTTCTTTGTTTTCGGTCAAAGTCGTATGTGATACCAAAGTCTGTATGCTAGCCTCACGCATCTATACATTAAACAGTTTTTATGAGCCTGTATTTTGTTCTCAGTGTACTACAGATTAAATGTTGGGATTCTGAGAAGGTGAATCTTTGGAAATTTTGACTCTTCTGTTGTTGGGCATTAAATTTAAGATATTTTACATTCTGATTTCCAACTAATTCACAAGTGAGCCTCATCAAAGGCCTCTTATCTTCATGAATGGCAATATTGGGCACAATTTCCCCCCTTTTATGACAATTTGAAAAAGATTTTCCAAACTATATCAGCAACACTAAAACTCACCCATAAATAAACAGTCAATAGCCATAACTGCCATAGCTGAACCTTGATTTCCCTTTATTCTTATGAAGTGTCATTTTTAAGGTGGCACGTTCAAATAAAAATAATGCACATTTTCTTCTCCGTAATACCTATCAGTTGTTTCCTTGATAGTTTAAATTTAAGACGGCTGTCTTTTAAAATAGTTTGGATGCGCCAGTATAACAGATTACTAGAGGTCAAAATTTTGTGTGCAACAATATAATGACACTTGTGTTTCTGAGAAGAACTTGAATTACCCTCTTAATTGAAACAATAATGACAGAATATATCAGACCTCAGATTACGTCTCACTGATGTTCTGTATCTTTGGCAGTTTCTTTGCTCATGTTTATTGAAGGTGCTACTGATTCAGATTGGCACTGTATGTACATTTCTGACACTCTGACACGCTGAGATGCACAAACTAAGTTAACAAATCTGTATATTCCAGAAGTGATAATAGACTTTTATAGGGTAATACCTATCAGTTGTAAACCAGTTGCCAAATTATTTTAAAAAAGCACTACAAATATCGTGACACAGTTATAACATGTTATCAGAAGATCAAATAATACAATAATAGATTAATCAGCTGCTCTTAGAATTTTAGTGAGACAGATATTGTCCCTTATGAACACTTTAAATCAGTAGTGACTTCAAAGTGTCAAGTGCCATTAGCTTCTGCCCAAACAAGAAGAAAACATAAAGCCAAGCGACCAGTAACCACAGACGTAGGCCACTTGAAAAGATCCCCACAGGAACACACGCTATTGATTCACTCTAATGTAATGCATAGATAATTATAACCCAATGCAGTAGAGAATACAATTCCCATGATGCATTTCCCTAAATGTGTAACCAGTTAATTCATCCCCGATTGAAGCGAGGGATGTATTGCCTCTGTACAGTAGAGAACCAAAGCGTAGAGTCTTCAAATACTTTAAAATGAAACACAAGTATCAATGATGAAACTGCATTTTGAGCCGGCCAGTGAAACATGGATGTTATTTACAACAAATTATTAATGGTGATATCTTCATTCTGCTAATTCTGCTTTTCATTTTGGGGAGTCTCTAAACCTTACAAAGGCTGTAATAGCTGCTCAACGAGATGAAAATCTTTATCTTTTTTCTTCAGCCAGTACATGCATTGATTAAATATCTCTTTGTTTATGTGAGACACTGTGTGGGGTGTCACCCTGTAGCCTAACTAAGAGATGAAACTACCATAAAAAAAAAATATATATATATATATTTCACATTATGATGGTTAAAAGAGAGCGTTTAAATGAGCTGATGTTGTTTGTGAACACGTTCTGGCCAGAAACTTGACCAAACCAGGCAAACTTACCTCTCTCCCTCTGACCAGAGTAGCTCCTCTGTGCACTTTGAAGACTGGTAGCAGATAATTGTTACCCAACTTTCCCTTCTTCTCAAATTAATGTAAGAAAATAAAATAAAAATGCTTAATTTATTTTCAGAGTTCTAAAAACGGTTCTACTGCATCCAATTAATTCTAATTGTCTCCTAAGCTGAAATTCTCAATAGAAATGGAGCAATTAAATTTCTGCTTTGGCTTTACCTTGGGGACAAGAGACATTTTATTTCGGTTGACGGTGGGGAGGGTTTGTCTAAACTTTAACATAGGCGATTTCATGGGTGTCTGTAATAGTTTCATAACAGACCGATCACTGGGCTATGCAAGGCAAATATGGCCACCTATGTTCCTTGTGTTGTGGAGCATCAGATTGACATTTAGTTGTGCTTTGTTTACAACGTGGACCTGCTGTACACTGCAAATGTATTGTGCACATTTCACCGTACATACTGTAACTTCTGTGCATTGATGTAACTATGAGGAAGTTGCCCGTTGAATGAATTTCTCATGATGTATTAGCAACTTCAACACAAATTCAGAGCCCACCTGAATAGCTGTGTAATATAAATCACTGTACTGAGTCAAGTGAGAATAATAAGTGAGTTATATTTGGTCTAAGGTGGGATATTCTCTCATTTGCCTTTTCCTTTCTGTGTCATTGTGTATCTCACTGCTGAAACACACACTCTGTGTTATCATCGATTTTGGTTATCAGCACAGCAGGATGTATACCAAGTGAAGTAGTCTAGACCCTATACCTCTGTTCATATTTTGAAAATTACACTGAGTTTGGAAGCGGGCCATGGGTTCCTCCTGGGAATCAGTGGCACAGAAATAAAGTGACATCACTCACTGGGTATTAAAAAAATGTAGATGAACCTACTGCAATTGGGGAGCACATTTCTCGGAGGAGAAAGCTGCTTATTCGCTGCTCCATTTGCGGACTTATCTCCATGCACTCTGAGATGAAGAGATTTACATAAAGCATGGAGAAACCTCCCTAGCCACGATGTATAAAGGACCCTGCTAGGTGTATGTAGCATAGACATGTGATTACCCAAGAGGTTTACTCCCCTCAAAAGCAAAATTTTAGCAATTGTGATATTGAAAGGGAGCTTTGGTTGATTTTAATTCTAAACGTAGCCCGTGCTCGGAAAAGGACAGGGTAACTATGCACACAAGTTCACGGTCCTGGTGAGAAAAGGAGGAAAAACGTGAGAAAGCCAACCACAGCTGGGTTTCACTGGACAGTATTGTGTGGCATTTTCTTGTGTTTTATTTGTTGTGTTCATGCCTAATGTACCCATGTGTAAATATATGCTTTTTTTTTGGAGTGAGTCAGATCTAACAGTGCACTGAATGTACAGTGACAATAAAATCACATGATTTATGTAATCACTGCAAATGATTTTTTAAAAATATCTTTGAGTCAACGAACATGGGGAAGAATCGATCCACAAAAACAGTTGCCTCAGTAAGTTTGTACCTATGTTTACTGGCAAGGTTTTATTTTATGGATACTTAACAGGAGGGAACAAATATCCCCACACTGTCTCGTGTATCTGATGTCAATGTGTTTCGACCACGGTGGTCTTGGTCTGATCCTAACCCCAAACCTCAGACCTGAAGAAGACAATTTGTGATCTTAAGGTTGTCATGTCATCACAGAATGAAAGATACAAGATAGCAGGGTGTGGGTAATTGGGGGAGGGGGGGGTATAGATTGTCAACCAGCACCTGCTGAGACTTTTGGATGCATGTGCCATTGATTATCGGATACCATCAATAATCCTGTATTCTTAGATGTATAAAGCATTTTGAGCACATGTTTGATAAACCCTTAAATATGTTGAGATAGAGAACAAGACAATGATTTCACCCTACAATGATAGGGCACACCACACTGACACTGTACAATGTAATATAATTTTTTAAATATATGTTTTATTTGCACTTTCCTCTAACATATTACTCATGCACAGCCTTAACATTACCTAGTGGATGTAAGACGAAAATTGTAGTATATATAAAATAGCTGTCAAATAGTTGTCAGGTTTATTTTTGAAATCATTATAACTTGTGACTTCCTAAACTTTCTATATACTGTAAGGGTTTCATAAACAAGCTAAGGTCATATTTCATGTTGAATTTACCTTTGACATTTGTCATTGTCTTCAAAGCAAGTTCTTTTCTCCACCTGTATGTAAGATAAAGTAACTTTTAAATTATTTGCTGCGATGTGCTGTTACTTTCATTGTATTTAATGGATATCAAGAAAATTTATAGTGACTAGTAATAGTAATTTTATGTTCTCATCAGAGGACGTTACAGTACAGCCTTGTCCCGATCTCAGGATAAGAAATGTCCAGTCAAACATTGCCTAGTGAGACCAATCATGTATGTGTGCGTCTGTCTGTGCCTTGGGGTGTAACGGCATCCTCCTGCCCTGACTGTCAGTTGGTTAGCTGTCTACAAAATGTCCCATTTGACCTTGCGTTGGCTACAACACTGGCTGAATGCACATCTGACACACTCCCTTCCTTTGTGGTGCAATCCTGTGGAAGTCATTTCATTTACTGGGCTTTCAACTTCAGCCAATATGGGGGTTGGGGGAGGAAGTCTGTGTTTAATCAGCCTGCCACAAGCCATTCCCCTAAACAAAATCAACTATGATGTCCAGCGAAAAGATCTCTCAACAGAAGATTGAATTAAACATATAAATGGGCTTGTCACTTTTTCATTTTTTATTTATTCTCTTGGCACGGCTTCACCCAGCACTCCATATTATTGCTGGAAATAACAACTGTGTGTTATCTTGTGGACTGTTCTGCACAGTATGTCAGCATTACCTGAACGTGTAGATGTTGGACTGCTGAGAAATAAGGAAAGTAAAAGAAGCTCAAAAACAGAGGAAAACACGTAATCACTTGTCTTATGAACTTGTCGTCATTGCAGCTCTTCTCTCATAGGACTACGAGTATTTTTTTCTCTGTTTTCAGTCTTGCAGAAGGGAATTAGGGCATGGCCCAGTGTCCTCAGAGTGACTTTCCATCTTGTAAACCATGTTTTATTCTCCTTAAATCGTCACCAGTCATTCGGCTTTTCTGTGCTTAAGAAGGGGCATTGACACTGTCACACTGCAGTGTGTTAATCAGGCAACCTTGTTGCCTACCTCTTTCAGAAAATCTATGATCACACTGTTAGTGCAACCTTGTACTGTCACCACTGGCTTTAGCTCCACTACCGTATGCTCAAACGCCTGCCTTTGCCTCATGCAAGGATTATTCAGCTGCTGAGGTGAGAGTCCACTGAGAATAGGATGTAAAGTGTCAGTCATGGTTACCCAGAGTAGTGTTGTCTTAGACAATGTAACTAGGTGAAAGTGAGTGAAGGAGATAGGAAACCATCAATATGTTCCCTGTGTAAATTGAAGAAGGTCATGATTTATAGCTCCCAGCTACAGCGTACATATATGCTGAATCTACTCTTTTTTTCCCCACCACTGTCGCCTGGCTCAAGGACAGGTAAGGGTGCCTTTCTCCGCAGCTCATCTCCACCACCACGCAGTCTGTGGCACTTTGTGATGGACAGCCCAGAGAAAGGACAGTGCTTTTCAAAATGAGTTGAGCGCCATCTGTAGGTAGCCACGGTGACTGAGTGACACTACCTCTGGTGTATAGAGAGTGCAGGGATGAAACAAGCGATCAGACATGCGTTAAAATGGTGCACACTGCTACCTGTGTTGCTCCTCATCCACCTGCCTCTTTGGAGTTTTCATCACCTCATCAGTCACGTCCGTCTTTCACTCTCCTTTCACTCGGGGACTCAGACAGAGCAGGGGCAGCTGTGGGTTTTCTAAGGCCTCATAACAGCTGCAAACCCCGCATGGCATTGCATCTGTTCAAGTCTGGCAGCACTATGGCCTGTATCTCGACTAAAGCAAGTTACATTACAGTTCTCTCTGGTCTTACCCTATTAACCAGTGAGCAGATGGAAATTATATGGTAGGGTGTTAGGTCTGAAAATGGACTTGCAAGCATTTTGCTGTCTCAAGCACGCAGCTTAAAATGGGACAATTTTAAATAAGGACACATGAGAGAAATCAGGACTTGGCAGTAAATTCATTCGAGGTGGCAGAAGGAATACTGTGTCTTCTCTGAATCTTAAAGTTCCTAATTTATTTGGATGATTTATTATGTCTGGGTGCCTCTGACGTTGTTACTTTGCCTTTGGAGGGAGCTAGACGTAACAAATGGAGCACTCATTAGCATTTGACCTCCACATTATGCTTTGTTTACCTGCCTTTCCTCACCTCTATATCTCCTCAGACAAAATCAGGGCTTTTTACAGAAGGCTCAGAGTGTGACACAGTTTTGTTACTGGGCGGTAAAGGTAAGTACCACATTTGCATTGCAAGATTTCTCAAACAACTTGAGCATGCAGAATCAAGGGTGTGTGTGGGGGGGTGCTCCGCTCCTCTGGGACGTAGCCACTCCCAGACGCTGTCGTCTAGGCTCGGGAGTCCTGACAGCTGCTTAAATCCCCAGAGATGATAGAAGTATGAACAAAAGTTACAGTACAGAGTCACAGGCACATCCTGTTGTGCGAAGGGAAGAGATTGTTTGGATTGGAAGTTGTTCACCACTTATTGCTTGTGACCAGAAATGTTGAAAAGCTCGTGCTTGCTTTTTGCATTAAAGGGATTTGAGCCGATATATTTTGGTGTGCCTCTGGTCACATCCAGTGTTCATTCATGCAGTACAACCATACCAGAAAAAAGGAAAACACATGTTATATGGTACAAGTAATGTCAAATCAAATGGAAAAAAAAGAATTATATATAGCTGAAAAACATCATTACAATTGCAATTATAAGCTCTGTGCAATATTAACATTTCCACATTTCATGCATAAGCAGGTCATGCATCTAGTGTGTGTAAAGAGAACCATAAGCAACAAGTAATGGCACACATTCACAACCCCCCCCCCCCCACACACACACACACACACACACACACACACACACACACATTATATTACCAGACCGGGGGGTGTGGCAGGTAGATGTGTGTGCTATAGTTAATTGCGCAACGAGAAACTGTTCTGTAATTTATTTCTTGCCTGTCCATACAAGAGTGATCATGAAACCCCATTCATTTCACAGAACACAATTTTCATATTTAATGAGCATGACTCCAATACAATTACAGTAATTAGTCAAATCTCACTCACGGCCAATGGAGCTCGCCACCATTATTAGTGGATCTTATTAATGATGTTGCACATGTGGTGCTCATAGGGTAATTGAGGGCATGTGTGGGTATGGGAACAGGGGTACTGGGGATTGGAAAGCAGTGGTGTCAGTCTGTTTTCTGTCTCTGCTGGGCCTTATGTTAAATGGAGGTCTGCTCGATATTAACTTTGAGATGTTTAAACATGGTGGCAGGTAGAGCTATTGATTTGACAATACAGCCGACTGCAGGGGCTTTTGCATTAAATAGGATAACTTGAATTCTACATAAATTCAACTCAATCACTGACTTTGGAAAGACACATCAGTTCGTTGCTCCATTGGCTGACCTGAACATTTGTGTTTCACAGGCTGCTTTAAATAATTGCAAATCATTTCACAGCATCAGCACCGTGCTCCGGACCCAGGAGGATCACAGCAAAAAAGACAAAGGGAGACACTGGGAAAAGAAGTCCATTTACTGTGAGTTATGATACCGCAGTGTCTGACATTTTGGAGGTTTGTAGAGCTTCTCTTTCCAGACTGATCCTTATTAAACCTATAGAGCTGTGTTGTATAGGCAACAAAAGCATGCAGCAGCAAGTGACACATTTTTCTTTGTGATGGCATGTGCTGCTGTGATGAGAAGATTTTCTAATGTGGACTTACATCTGTGATATTACATTTAGAAATCTGAAAGAGGGCAACTTTTTACATTTTGCTAACATGTCTCAGAAAAGTAGAACAAGCTAAAAAGGTAACATACAGCACTTCCGCTTTGTGTACACACTGAAAGCTATGTCTTATGTAGTTTCATGTGCTTTGAACCAGTGAGTGTCAGGGTTGATGTTTATAAGGAGGCAATAATTTTAATCAAAGAAAAGTGACTTAATGGCCTCTTATCCAATTAAGGGCAGTGTCACAGCTGAGTTAATGAGTGTGACGCTGTAACAGAAAAACCTCTATTAACATGACATAATTAGCAGAACATGGTGGAATTAGACAGCAGCAATGACAGTGCTTTGGTGTTTTTGTAATTAAACACTGGAAAAGACAACAATTAAGCCAAATCTTAAAACCCCAGTCTCATTCAAGCCAGAGAGGACATGCATTGTTTTTGGGAAAGCTCTTGAGACGGGCCTGCTGTTGTGTGAAGTTTGAATTA